CCTCAGCTAGATGACAGCTCATCCTAGGGGACACAGCTCAGATCTCACCTCCTCCATGAAGCACTTCTGGATTCCCACCCCTCCTGAAGATCCTCTGGCCTCAATTGGGACCACTAGTGCTGTGACCACACTCTGATTACCTCCCAAGTCTGTAATCTCTGTGAAAGCCCTGGGCCCAATGTGGAAAGGACTCAGAAAAATGGGGCGAAAAGGGGCTAACAAAATGTTACTAGTTCTCTATTACAGAGAAGGGCACTGAGCAAAGAGAGGGCAGTGTCCAACCAAAGCCACAGAGGAGGGTCTCAGTGAGCCCTCCCATGGCCCTGTTACTAGTTCTCTGTTACAGATGAGGACACTGAGCCACAGAGAGGGAGCAGAGCCCTGCTATAGCCTTGGCCCCATGGCCTGTGCCCTTTATGACTAGCTCCATGCTGCCAGCAGGGGTGTGGGCCTGGAATGGACATTGAAAGCAGCCTGACCCCCAGGCCCCCTTCATACACAAAGTCAGTCTCTGGAAACACCCCTCAAGACCTACTCTACACCCCTGGGATTGGGACCTGATTGCTGTTCCTGGAAGCTGGCTGGGCTTCCCTGTGAATTGGCCCAGGAGATGCTTGGGACAGCCACAGGGCCCCTGAGGCTCCCTGTCCCCAACTGAGCAGCTCTGGTCCCCTTGACTGTCCCTGGCCCAGGCCTGATGACACGAGGTTTTGGCCGGGTAGCCAGCTGTGGAGATGAGGAAATGGGGGCAACATGCAGGTACATGCAGAGGTTCAGGTATTCACTCAACAATCATTGATTCAGGCTTTGCAGTGTGGCTGGCCTGGGCACAGGACTGGGTGTCCAGTAGTGAATACGGTCAACCCCTTGAGCCTTCTGGGAAATCAGTGCTCAGAGAAACGGGCCCTCAGTGCCCCATCCTGCTCCCCATGAACAATCACACTGAGATGAGGCTGCGGCCATGGGTCCCAGTGGAGGGTGAAGTGAGGGGGAAAACCCAGAGTGGGCACTGACCATGAGCCTGGACACTGTAATCTGAGGTGGTCACCTCACCTGTTCTCTCTGTGCCTCAGTTACTTCTTCTGCAGAAATGGGTGATAATGCCTGTCCCTGCCCCACAGATATTCATGAGGAGTCAGTGAGCTTCTCTTAGGCGTGTAGGACAGTGCCTGGCTATGGGTCAGGATCCTGCTCACCTCACAATAGTCTGTCCCACTTTGAAGATGAGAAAGCCAAAGCTAAGGGGGTTATGAGACCAGCCTGGGCTAGCCCCCTTCTCATGGACTGCTGTCCAGGTCTCCTGCTTTTACATCATACCTCTGCCCCCATATCCACCCAGCAAAGTAGGTACTGAGAATCTGAGCAAATCAGAGTATGAATGGAGGCACACCTCTCCCCATCTTGGGCTCTTGGGGCGGTGGGCAGGATGGGGATATCGGGCTCCCCCAGACTGTCCAGGAGGCCCAGCATGTCCATCACCTCATTTCCACTCAACACGGAGTAGGTGTGTGTCCAAGGGCCAGAGGGCGCTGGAGTAACCCAGGGTGGGTGGATGCTAG